CTCCACAAGAGTTCCAAACAGAAATGAGTGGATAAATTCCAACGCTCTCGATCAAAGAGCCATGGCCATCTTTATAGCCCTGACATCTGCGCTACATCAATCCCTCTGGAAACACTCTTTCAATTGTCTCGCTCTCCCTTAGCAAAAATTGGAAATCTCGTTAGCTTCATAAGCACAGCAGAATGACAATGAGCCTATTGGCCTAAATGTACTGGTAATGACCAACAGCCAACAGCCGCAGCAACTCAACTCAACATCTTAAACAGTAATTGAAGACGAACGACCATCAAGCGTATCGCACGTGGCTGAATGGGTCTAAAACAAGATAGCCGCCGAGGCCCATTTACTTACTTACATTATTGGCGTAGACACCGCTTAAGCGATTGTAGCCGAGTTAACAATATTGTGCAATTCGTTTCTTCTTTTTGCTGTTTGGCGCCAATTGGAAATACCAAGTACAGCCAGGTCCTTGTTGTGTTGTTGTTGAAACCGCAAAATTGTTCCCCAAAGTACCTTTCGGCGAATGTTGCGGGAGTGACAGCCCTTGGCCGGATAAAAATCCAGGTCGTTTCGGTATAAAGACCCGACTGTCGCAGGAACTATTGGATTTTATTCGCCTCTTACGACAGGCATGCCTTACCGCAGTTAAATTCTTGAGCCCCTAACCCACAGGGGGTACAGCTAGGTCCTTCTCTTCCGCTGCTTCCACCGGTGGGTACTGCATCAAAACTTTCAAAGCGGGGGTATTCGCATCCATCCGGACCACTTGACCTAGCCAACGTAGCCGCTGCTTCTTGATTCGCAGAACTAAATTAATGTCGCCGTATAACTCGTACAGTTCTTCGTTCTATCGTCTGCGATTCTCGCCGTTGCCAACTCGCAAACGACCATAAATTTTAGCGAAATCTTTCTCTCGAAAACTCCTAACGCCAACTCGTCAGATGTTGTCATCGTCCATGCTTCCGCGACATATAGCAGGACGGGAACGATTAGGGACTTGCAGAGTTAAGTTTTCATTTGCCGAGAGAGGACTATACTTTTCAATTGCCTACTCAGTCCAAAGTGGCACCAGTTAGCAAGAGTGATTCTGGGTTGAATTTCCAGGCTCGATAGACAAAGCTATCTATGACTTCAAAGTTATGACTTATAAAAGATTGTACCTTCTCTATTCCGCTCTGCAGCTCGTATTATGTTCTCCAGCATCATATTAAAGAAATCACATTATAAGGAATCGCCTTGTCTGAAACCTTAATAAACAAAATCATCGCATATGGAGTGGTGATACTCCACAAGCCGTTATATTTTCAAAACGTCATTGCTTGGTGTACTCTATGGGCAGAGGGAAGCATTGGCTCATATGTTTCCATAAATGAAGCAAGCCATGATGATTCAGTCAATGGTAAACGCCTTTGAGCCTTGATTAATGACTTTTTCTTACCTGAATTGGATAATGTACTCGTATGGACGATGGATATGGACGACGATGGTTGGAGACGACCTTTGGTTCAATCAAGACGGCTCTACATGCCATACAGCTGACGAAATAATCTGTTGATTGAAAGATATTTTTTGTGAGTGCATCACAAGATCGTGCGATTTAACATCGCTGGATAAATGTTCGGCGCAATGCTGAAAAAAGGGGTCGAAGATTGGTCTATGATCACTCACCCGACCATAATTTCAAGCTCTCATCTTTATAATAAAGCTAAATTCTCGGCCATAGCGATAGGGCTCATCAGATGAATATGACCTCTTTTCAGATTCTTTACGGACTACTTTATTCCCTCTGAAACGTAGTTGCCACTATTTTTATGTTGTTGTTGTTGTATGTAAAGCAATTCACAAACATTCCTATTATCATCGATTTCCATTCATTTACTCATTCATTATTGCCAAAGTGGCAAAACTTTCCTCCACAAACCGACTAAACTGACTGTTGACCGACCGCACTTCTTCACAAAAAGGGAAATAAAAATTCCCAGAAAAAGTTGGAGAAATACTAACTGTACTAAGGTAAAAACAAGTCTACATCAATTTATTTATTGGCCATTGGTTTTGGTGCTGCTGCTGCGCTCTTTGCACAGTCCAACCGCTGCTATTAGCCATACCAAATGCCTACGGCCCAACCCGAGTGGATCTTAGTTCATATCTGGGTATCCGCGCAGCGTTTTTTATTTAAATTAGCAAATTCTTTGCTTAGTTTTGGTCAATGAACCATAATGATGCAGTTGGAAATTCCAAAGCGTCTTTCATTGGCCAAGAGAAGCTTACTGACACAAACTCTGTGCCTAGTCTTGCTGCCGTTTGCTGCTATTTGCCTTTGGCACGAGCTTTAACATCTCTTTTCATACTCATATTTAGCATTGCCTAACTATTGTACAATTTTTTCTTGTGCCCCTCGATCTGTGTGTGTGTGTGTGTGTGTGTGTGCTTCTGCATATTTACCTTTTCGTTTGCGTGTTCTTTTTTCCACAGTTCGCCTCTGTGTCTGCCTCCGACATGCAAGCGATATGCAAAGAAGTTTTTCTGGATTTATGGCGATTTATGAGCTATCTCTTAGTTAATGAGGTGTTGAAAATGGCAAACGGAAATCTATTGTAAATTCGCTTGGCGCAGGAGTAGTAGCTGCAGAAGCAGCAGCAGCAGTAGCAGCAACGTATTTTGTGGCGTAAACTATGCTGTAACTGTACACTTTGTAGCGGGCTTTCATTACGCAAAATTTATGATTTTAGAAGTTTTTTCATATTCGCCGTGAGATTTATTCACCGATCGTATAAAAAATACAGGAAAAAAAGAAAAAAGAAGTTGGAAATGCGCCAACTGAGCTCATCAGGCAATCAGACTCCTGTCAAAGCTCTCGTTGAAGTAAATATGTTTGACCTATGTATTTCATATTATGATCAGAGCTTGGCCGAAAGTTGCTTCAGACAATTATACACAATTATCGATTAGTGCTAAAACCAACCACAAAAATGGAGATTCCAATTTGGGCACGTTTCGTACTTTAAGAACAGATTATTGAGTACATAATCGTCCAACCCCCCTTCAGTAATTAGTAGAACCTTAAAGAAATTCGAAGAGTCTGGCTCGGTTACAGACAATGGAGTTGATGCTGGTTCCAAAATAGATGAAATCATCTTCGACTTGGAAGTTATATCTGTCAACAGTGACGTGGGAGCCAAGTCCCGTATGCGACGATTGCTTGTTGAGTGACAGGAGATATTTCGTCTTTTCCTCGTACACTACAAGATCCATGGGCTTCGCTTCTTTATTAATCCGGGAAAAAGTAGAACTAAAGGCGCACTTGTTGAGGACGATAATGCCAGTATCACCGGCGTATGCCAGCAGATGTACACTTTTAGAGTAGATTGTACCTTCTCTATTCAGCTCTGCAGCTCTTTTTATTATCTCCATCATCAAAGTGATGAAATCACATGACAAAGAGTCACCCTGTGTGAAACCACGCTTGATGCCGCACGGCTCGTAGAGAACTTTCCTAATTCCGACTGCGCTTTTGGTGTTGCCTAGCGTCAGCTTACACACCCGTGGAAGTTTTGCGGGGACTCTAAATTCAGACATAGCGGCGAAGAGGCAGCTCCTACGGATGGTGTCGGATGATTCTTTCAAATCTACGAAAAGGTAATGTGTGTCGATGCTCTTTTCTCGGGTCTTTTCGAAGATGTGGCGCATAGTGAATATCTGGTCATTGACTGACTTGCCAAATCTAAAGCCACATTCATATGGTCCAATCAGTTTACTCGATAGGACCTTTTATGTGATGCTAAGGAGGCTCATTCCACTATAATTGGCGCAGAATAGTGTGACCGCCTTTTTTGTGGATTGGGCTCGAAACTTCGGACGAACCTTCATCCCTCAAACATCTTTTCCATCACCTTCGATTGGCGAATAGGGTTCCCCATCTGCTTTTGTTCCAAATTGACTGTCATTCAGCAGTAACAACAATGCACTCTGTTCTTCAGCGCTAAATAACTTTCTGGGCCCAGCAAGAGTTTACGATAGTCTTGGAAACATTTCATAAGTTGCCGTAGTCGCTGCGCGATCATATTGACCTTTCCCTTTTTATGTTTCCAAATGCGTATTGCTTTCTTCTTCAATTAATCAATTAATCTATCAGCTGTTCCTATACTTGAGCTTGAAATACCATCCCACAGTTCCCTTGTACCGATTAGCTGTTGTGTGCCCTCGGAGAGCAGGAGTACAAGCAGTGTGGTAAACCGTTCGGATGTCGGATGTCGGATGTGCTTCTAGTTTTTTCACGTCGAACCTTCCTTGTGTTTGGCGATGGGCGTTCTTTGCTACAATGCGCCAGATGCGTATCCTTGCTTCTACAAGATAGCGCTCCTAGTGGATGTTGGGTCCTCGGAGCGCACGCACCTCAATAACGTTGGAGACATATCGACCATCTACCACAATATGGTTGATGAGACAGCCAAGTAGGCTTATGAATTTTCTTATGCTGGAATCTATTGCCACTTGCTTACTTACGTACGAAGTATATCAGCATCCACCCATTTTTTTGTTCTTGTTCACAAAAATTATCTTGTCAAATGTTTTTTTATATTCTGAAACTGATATCCTTAATTTAGTTTATCATTGATTAGCTGAAATCTTTATTATTATAATTCTTTTTCTTTTATAGCATGTGTGACTTAATATTAATCGGAATTAAGAATTTAGAAAAAAAATTTGTGAAGTAAAAGATTCTTGCGTACGGTAGCTGGATTAGTGGAGTTACCCACCGGCGGCATTTCGTGGTTTGTGGCTTGGATAACATAAAAAATCAACGAAGTAAATTGGAACTGTTTTACCGACCATACTTCTACTGCTGCTAAGCACTGTGTGAGAATTAATTTTGCATCACTTTTAGTTAAGTTTCACTTATGAAATACAAATAATTAATTTAAACAACACTCTCATAATAATAATCACATAGTCATTGCTTTATAATATAACAAAGGCAAAAAAAAGAAATAAATAAAAAAAATTTTTGAACTTTTTTAAAATAAATTAGTATTAAAGCCATTGAAAGTTTTGGAAAAATAAAAAAAAAACATATCATTATGTTGCTCGGCGCATCGAAAATCACAAATATAACAAAAAGTGTGGTAAGAAATCTGCCATTGAACCCCAATCAGCTGAAACGTTATATCGCCGACAAATGTTGTCCGACACAGGCGCCTAAAAAAACCAAAGATACCACTGCCGACTCTACAAAAAATGACGCTTTCACACCACCCGACTTCCTACCAATCACTGCTTATCGGCCGTTAGACGATCCGAAAGAGGTGTTCGGCCCCGGCGCTCACAAATGTAAAGAATACAAGAATCCGGAATATTTTGCTTGTCATCGCTTCTCATTTTACGAACTACAGACTGCTACATTGGAACTGGCAAAGAATCCCAAGGGCGGCTTGCTGTACGAGGCAGAAGAAAGTGATGAAGATAAAAAAGCGGAAGAAGAATGCGTGGGTAACGATGGTGAAGTTGAGGTTGCAGTAACAGAGTGTAAGCGCCATGATACCGATAAAAAGGACTGAAAGGTTCAATATTGGTGGACACTGTATAAAGATTTGCTTATGACCTTTAAAGCGCAGCGCAAAAAGAAGAAAATATTTTTGTAATATTATGTATGTATGTAAGCCGTTAAATTAATGAATGTACGTTCATGTAAATTTATTTACAAAAAAAATTAAAATTTTCATGTTTGAAAAACAAAAGATTCTTTTAGGTCTACATTTTTTGTAATTAAATAATTTAATAAGGACTCGCTATTTCTTCAACGCACTAAAGTAAAGAAATAGTAATAAGCAAAGCCACACACCGAAAATATTAAGCTTTAACGGTAATGAAACAAATCTTACATTTCCGGTTTATGTGTACCCCACGCTTCAAACGAAACTGCCTTACCTTTACCGACGTGTTGACAGCTCCACCGACGCCATTACATTTGCCGCGCTAACCGCCGTTATACGTCAGTTTCCTTCGCACAAAAGCAAAGTTTGTCTGTTGGCTGACTGCGGAAGTGAATAATATATTTTTCAGCATAAATATTGCAGTAGATTTGAATTTTTTGTCAATGTTTTTGAGAGGGAGTGATATTTTACCCATATTGTATCAAATATGATCGCAAACGTAGATTTTAGAGTGCTTACTTCGCGTGTGGAAATATTGAGGTGGTCGCGATACGTTGTTGCGAATGAATTGAATTGATGCAGTGTTAAATAATTTGAAATGGAAAGCAAAATAAACGATACGCGATGTTGTCGTGAAAAACTAAAATGTAAAAACGGGCAGTGAAAATGTTCAATAAAATAATGACTTTTTAGTTTGCAACTGGGAAAAATTTGTCGCCTTCGACCAAGCAAAATTCACATATCTAAGCATACAGTTGTATGTGCGTTACTTACTATATATACACATGTTATAGTTCTTAAAATTTGATAATTTTCTATTTCTTAATGTGTTTTACACCGAATTTCATACTATTAGTGGCTTAGGTAAGGTTAGGTTGTGGCGGACAATGATTTATTGCACAGATTATAGTTAGGCCTGACTAGGACCCATGGTGTTGCCACAAAAACTTGACCATTAGGATTCGTTATACAACCATTTCGATTCTCTAATGAATTTCATTAGATCCTTATCAGGTAACTTCGATAGACCATAATTATGAAACCTAATACTAAGCAAGTCGTACTCGAAATAGGCCTCCCCATCATACAGCTTCTGCAACATCTCCTATAGGGGGCCCACTATTGTCTCTGCAAGTTCCCTGAATACAATTTTTAAAATTTTCATAAAAAATTATTTCAACAAACTGTATATAGTGATCTCTTCTTATCCCAATTTGTGTGCTCGGTTTTTTTGAAGGTCAAAGTTTTACTCTGCCTTGCCGTGGTTTGTTCATATGTATGTTTTTTGCGTTAAAGTCAGATGAAGGATTTGTATGTGGAGCATGCGCATATAATATTGTAATTAATTGTGATTGAAATAAATAGATAAATACCTCTGAATGAGATCTCAAATGAAATGGGTGCGGGTTTAAACACTTTTTCATAAATGATATCAGAAGGATAAAAAAAGAGTGTTACAGTGAAGTGAATTTGTGTATGTGATCTTTGACGATGAAAATAGTAAATGCTAATTTGTTTACACGGGAGATCAAAATAATTTTCGACTGATTTCGTTAATTGGAAGAACCTGAAAAATGAGTGACAAATAACGTATCGAGGGGAAAATGAGCGGATTGGTAAGTAAAGAAATAAAACTCTTAATTTTTTTTGCTGCAAAACTTATGAAATATAAAATCATTTATTAATTTTTTTTTTTTTGGTTTTTTGTATGCCATTGAAAAATTGCAAGTTGCGCTTAGATAACTAAATTCTTAAAATGTGAGAACATGTTGAATAGAAAAATGCAATATTGGTTAGTGAGCGTAAATTAGTTAAAGCTTTGTTAGTCACATAAAGTCAACACGAAGAAGAGTGTAAAAGAAGAACAATGATTGTGGAAAAAACTACACAAAGAGCAATTTAAGTTAACCATATGAGGAAAATACAATAAGAAAGCTTAGATAAACAACAAATTATTCATTAGAAAATTAATTAAGTTCACTGAGTTAAGTGTTAATAAATATTGTACAAAGAAGATCTAAAATAAGAGAATATTGTACAAAGAGAGTTGAAACATCAACTTAGTGTCAATCACTAAGTATATAATAGTGTTAAGTAGCTATTTAGAAGGAATATAATTGTTGAAGAATATTAAAAAATTATTTAAAAAAACTTTACAAATATATATATGGATATACTATAATTCCCAGTGGTTTATTCACGTTCGTATGTTCTTGCAAAAAAGCGTAGTTAAAGCATGTATGTAAGTACGAGTATGTATGTTAGTAAGCGGGGTTAGTGTTACGCGCGCGCGTCTTAAGGTGTGCAATCGTCATTGCAGCGTAAGCAGAAAAAGCGATAGTCGAAGTTCACCCGAAATCCCGATAAAATACAACTACATATGTATGCATGTATGTGTGTAAAGCTAAGTTGAACTGAGTAGTAAGTGAAATACTTGTTAGTGTCGTAAGACTATTGAGAAGAAGATGTAAAAAATTACTAAAAACTAAAGCCTAAGACTATGTTAATGCCGTTACTAATGGCGGCTTGGTCAAATCATTGTCCGTTGTACGTTAGCTGGGGTCTGTCGCCGACACTAATCTCCTAATACGCTTTCTGGCATTTCGTTCTCCCTTATTAACTATTCTACTCATTCGTTAGCGTTTTCGTCCTACTCTCTCGCACTATTCATTGAAGTTTAAATATATTTTTTATTTTGTGAATTTCTCGTCGTTTTTCGTTTCGTTTACCATGTCGATTTGCCACTGCTGCCGCCATTCGCGCCACTGCCGCTGCTGGCGAAGAGGTTCTGCAGGCGCCGATTCGAGTTCCGCAGGCTACTGCGTAAGGCATTTTCATCACGACCGCTGGCACGCTCATCCGAGCCGCCGCTGCTTGAGCTGTCCAAAATGCTGATACCATTGCCGGCGCTGCTACTGCCTAAACCACTGCCAGTGCCAGTACCACCAATGCGTCCCTTAATGCTACTACCGCTGCTGCTGCCGCCGGTGCCACTTAGTAGACGCAAGCTGGTGCGCGTCAGTGTGTCGTCATCGTCATTGTCGAGCTGGTTGAGCAGTTGGTCGGTGGTAGTCAAGCGGCCGCCGTCGCCACGTAGCGATATGCTGCTGCTGCTGCGTCCGCTATTACCGCTGGCATTGGTGATTTTCGTCGAGATGACGCTGCGCATGCCGGTCGTGCCAGCGCTGCCATCTAAAAGCAGTGGCGAGTGTATGACTTGAGCTTGTACCGTAGCGCTGGCGGGTTGGGTAATGACAATTTGCGGCAGGTTAGTGCGTTCGATAATTTGGCGCGCGTTGCCGTCGCGCAACTCTTTCAGCGTTGTAATGTCGCGCTGTTGGGCGTAAACGCTGCCGGTGGGTGGACGTGAGAGTATTGTGGGCGGATGTGAGACGACAGTGGCGTGCAAGCTGTGGCCGAGCGTGCGTGAGGGCAGTGACTGTGAGAGCAGTAGGGCTTGTTCGTTGGTGAGACGTTCCTGGGATTGTTGTGCTTGTGAACGTAGTTGTTGCTGCTGACGCTGTTGTTGTTGCTGCTGTTGCAGTTGTGCCAATTGCTCTTGTTGCTCCTGCTGCTGTTGTTGTTGTTGCTTGTACTGCTGCTGGAACTGTTCCATCAATTGTTGTGCCTGAGCGCGTGCCTGTGTCTCGGCCTGTATGCGCGCTTGCAACTCCGCTTCGCTTTGTACCTGTGCCATAGCTTCCGCGTGCGCCTTGGCCTGAGCTTGGAGTTGAGCTTCGGCGATCGCTTGTGCCTCAGCATACGAGGCAGCCTGGGCCTGAGCTTCAGCAATGGCTTGAGTTTGAATTTGGGATTGTAGCGCCTCATAACTGTTGTAGCGCGAAGAGGAGGCAGTGGCGGAGGCAGAGGCGGAGGCACGGGAGCGCTCATCAACTAATTGCTTGGAGACTACGGCGTTGAAGCCATTTATATCATCAGCGGTGTATTCCACAACACGGCGTGTGCCATCGGGCTCGACAAGGGAGTACTGCAAGCGAATTTGATGCACATGAAATATTTCCTTTTTTCCTGCAACTCAAAGTACATTTGTTTGATAAATCCAACTTACCTGTCCTTGCACTAGATCTCCGTCGCGTTTCTCCTCCTGCTGCTTCTCATCGCCGGTCAACGTATCGCGCACATCATAAGCGAAGCTATACTGCGGGTGGCTGTCATAGTCTTCGGACGAATCGGTGGTGGTGTCGGTTTGCTCTTGTGATTGCTGATCCTGTTGCTGTTGCTGCTGCTGTTGTTGGGTAATTGATGATTTCTGTTGCTGCTGCAGCTGCGAGAAATCAATCGCTTGGAGGTGAGAATAGGAGGCGTGCACAACATGGCACGAAAACAGGCACACGCAGAGCAGATAGTAAAACTGTGTGTGGGGAGCAGAAGAGGAGTGAAAAGCAAATGACGTTAATTATACATGAAAGTGATGCAAACACGCTCTTGTTTATATGTATAACCGTATATAACGGTATATATACCGTTTGACATCTTGTCTAATGCAAACATTTCTATGTAAAATATTCCTTGATTTCTCTTTATATATACATATGTGTATACATATATATTTATATATATATATATATGTATGTATTTTGTTGCTGCTTTTAAAGCACATTGGCCCCTTTTTATGTTGAGCTTAACTTTAACACCGTACAACACTTCAGGGAAATTAGCAACTGCCATTTTGATGACGCGAATGTTGTTGAGTGCAAATGAATGAATGAATAAGTGAGTGAGTGAGTAAGTGAGTGAGTAAAAGGGAAAGCTTAATGAACTCGTAAATATTTTATAGCCAAGCTGGCAGTAGCAGGCGAATGCGAGGCGCGCATGAAAAATTGCAGTTATTTACATAGGAAAAAGTAATGCGGAATGTACAGTTATGTGTATACTATATATTGAGGAAGTAGGTATGAGTACCCTCTAGGAAATAATCAAAAAATCTGTGCTAAAAACCAAATGGTGTTAAATAAACTGAAATTTAACACAAAACTTGTTTGCATAAAATACCGTTAAAAGTACTTTTGAAGGTATATTTGATTAAATATGAAAGTTTTTGTTTAAGATGAATATAAAAATGTAACTAAATGTAGTTATGTATATAAAAATGGTGAAGAAAAAAATATCTCTACTCAAAAACCGGCTCAAATTAAGATTTCAGCCAAGATAAATTAAATTTTTTTTTATTAAATTTCGGTGTAAGTGCTTTACAAATACGCTTTATGCTTTTTAAATATTTTCATTGAAGGTCAAACATCCTACAGGGCTCCTATGAAACATGATTTAATTATTCTATAAGTTACAACTCTATTTGCTGTTGGCATAATTATGTTGCAAAAGCTAAAAATAACTGAGACAGCCTTACTGCAATGCGGTGTTGTAGCTGTAATTAAAGAAGTTTTTTGTTTGGAAAAAGCTTTCGGTGGTTTTCCAAGCAGCAAGCCTGATGCATTTGAAAAATCATTGTTAATAAATGCAAATTGAACTGAGAAGTACTAGTTAGTAACTAGTTAGTAACTCCTACTAATATCGTAAAGATAAAAAATTGTGAATATGTTGGAGAATTATATTAAAGGTTGAACTGGTCGCAAATATACTAGTTGGAAACTACTTTAGCTATTGATAATACGTTATTTTTTGGCAAAAAATGCGAATTTACTTAGAAATAGGTAAGGCAGCATACAAAATGCATTTCCGGTTCGAAATACACTAGTTGGTAACTATTCGTAATAACTTATATTCGGGAAACAAATTTAAATTTTGATTTATGAATAAAGATTAGGTAATTAAACAATTAATGACAAAAATTTAGAGATCATGCATATAATTTAATAATCGGTATTCCTAACGCTATTGCCATGTTTTCAAGAAAATACCAAGAAGGTAAAGAAATCTCTGTCATCCTAATGAATAAAATCAAAAATTCATATGTTTAACTGCCGTACATACGAGTATATACTTGCATAAAGTGCTCTAAGCCAAATTGCAGATCATCACATAAAAGCCCATAAATCATGCCCTACAACAATACTCTATTCAATTGACATTTTGTGCAACATGTTGCTGAAGAATTCATTATGAAAGTGTTGTCATAAAGTTGTCAATTGGACAATTTGCAATAACATAAATTTTATATTGTCACATCAAAAAGCAGGCAAGAAATATACAATGCAAAGAAAAACATACATCACACATGCACACATATAAATTTATGTGTGTGTACATATACATATGTATACATATGTATTGTATGTATTTCAATTTCCCACTTTCCGCCACTTGTGATATTCGCAATCAATAAAGAAGTGCTTGAGCACTTGCATTGTAAAATATTTACGTATGCGCTTCAATGCAAGTTTATATTTATGTTATCGCATGTAATGGCGAGAGTGTATGGGTGTGTGGTTATCCTGCGACACGAGCCCACATTGTATGGCAACCCTAAAACATTGTGCTAGCCGAATGATTTATAGACACACAAGCTGTGTGGAGCACAATTTGCTAGAGCGTGTAACGTTAGAGAAATGAGAGAGTGTTGTACTCCGTTATTTTTAATTGTATTTGCATGTCATTTTGACATTTCGTGACAATAAAGCGTTTTTATTGTCATTTAATGGTATTGTGCAAATTAGCTTTCTCAGTAAGCATTTCGAAGCGGACGCTTTTCGATGGCGTACAAATAATATTTATTATATTCATTATATATTTATTACAATTTCTTGCTAAACTTTTTATAATTTATTATATTAAATTTTTGCTTTATATTTAATATAAAAATTGGATTAATTAAATTTTATTAATAATATTTAATTTTATTTTGATTTATTTTTTTTTATTTTAATTTATTTTGTTTTATTTAATTTTAGTTTACCATTTTATTTCCTTTTTAGTTCTTTATTTGTTTTTATTTACTATTATTATTATTTTATTTTATTTTATTTTTTTTTTTTTTTGTTTTATTTTTTTTTTATTTAATTTTATTTTGATTCAGTTTATTTTATTTTAATTTATTTTGTTTTATTTTATTTTATTTTATTTTATTTTATTTTATTATATTTTATTTTATTTTATTTTATTTTATTTTATTTATTTTATTTTATTTTATTTTTTTTTTTTGTTTTATTTTATTTTATTTTATTTTGATTTAGTTTATTTTATTTTAATTTATTTTGTTTTATTTAGTTTTAGCTTTTTATTTTATTTCCTTTTTAGTTCTTTATTTGTTTTTATTTACTATTATTAATATTATTTTATTTTAGTTTATTTTATTTTATTTTATTTTGTTTATTTAATTTTATTTTGATTTAGTTTATTTTATTTTAATTTATTTTGTTTTATTTAATTTCAGCTTTTTATTTTATTTCCTTTTTAGTTCTTTATTTGTTTTTATTTACTATTATTAATATTATTTTATTTTCTTTTTTATTTTAGTTCCTTTTTTATTTTTTTTTATTTACTGTCTATATTTTTTTATTTTATTTTATATAATTTTTTTATTTTGCTTTAAATATTTTTTTATATAATTAAAATGTAATTACCAAAATGTTTCATTTTTATTTTATATATTTTTTAATACAATTAATTTGCTCTGAACTTTTTAAACAATACGTTTTTTGCTCATGTTCATCACGTACCCGTTTCATTATCATTCCTTTGTTTGTTTTTCTATTGTTCACTTGGAAAATTGTTTGAAATTGGATGGAATACTTTTATTGTATATATGAATGTACTCGTATATGTGTATTTCTCCACTTATCACACTTGCACAGGATGTACTCTAGTACAAGTATCAATCCTTTGCGACACACTTTGTTGCACGTTCACTTATCAAATGAGTGGCACTTTGTCACCAAGACGCACACCCAACTGTTATCCAAGAATGCAATTAAACTTTTGATGGCTTCTCAAAACTTGCCACCAGCTTTTATAGTACGTTGGATGGGCACTGGTGTGTGGCGTGAAAATCAAAAATATTTTTTTATTTTATTTAATTTATCTCTTGACAAATAAAACACATAATACAAACGAAAATGAAGAATAAAATAATATAAATTTTTTTTTATTGTCACCAAAGTAAAGCTGAATGTCCAAAAAGATTTGTCTCACATAACTGTTATCCGATAGTAAGAACTTTCAAAAAATTTTCGAGTTAAAATTACAAATAACCTTAAAGTATTTGGCGCAGAAAGAACCGGACGTGCAAAGTGCTGCTTGGCGGCCCTAAAATACATACATATGTACATCGCTGTCACTACATGTGGTTGTGGCAGCTCCATCTCCAACAAGCGGACAATTTGGCATTAGTAACGAGTTATGATTTTTTCGACCGCCAGCATTCACTGAGTGGAGTCTCAAATTCGCTGCACAAATGCAATCGGCTGAAGGGCAACAATGCGTTTGTTGACTATTTGCTGAAGCTCTATTGTTGTCTGACTGCCTGTTGGCTGGGTGTTGAGTGCTTGGTAGTGTGTTTAAGTAAAAAAAAGATTTGAAATTTGTACACGAAGGATCACATATGGAGGTGCTTTGTAATGTTATTAGTCCTTTTAGGTGGAGTTTTGCCCTTTCGAGCCACTCGACAACTTAAAAATAGAAACACATGAAAATTCAGTCTCACTACGAAACTCTCACTTTAAATGAAGTTTGAACCAAAAAACCTCCAGAGCCAATCAAAGCAATAAGCAATGAAGGAGTCGTTCCTTTAACAAGCCGACTTAAGAGAGTTGAGAATGAAAATAAAGGTGTTACCTGTTAGGGTTTCGTCACCAGACATTTCAGCTGAACATGGAATTAGCAGCACTGGAATACAATAGTAAAATGGTACAACCACCAACAAAAACGGTTAGAATGATTTGATATTTAAAGAAAAGCCAAAGGAGGTCTCAAGACCTCGTTTTAAAAGTACAACATGAATGCTGTAACTCCGAGATTAAAAGATATTAAATACGGAAGAAAATGAAGCGAACCATTACAGAGCTTGTCGGACCATGACTGCTTCAAGTGATCTCTAGTTAGTCTCTACAAAGTTTTTTGCATTTTTTTCTGCGTTATCGAGCCAACGAATCCGAGGCCTAGCTCTGTTTCTTCTTACTTCACACTTTACTTTATTCATTGTAAATTTAGTTACGACTATGTATAGATATCGATGGGTGTATTGTGTCTGCTTGCCTTTGCTTTAGAATGCTTCATATTGGCATATTTTTATCAGTTTGACCATAATTCTTCATAAAAACATTGTCCAGCATTCCCATATAGCTCTGCCGTCTACGTTTACTCCAAGAGTTTTATTTTTCTTTATTTTCTAAATTACTGGGGTAACCGCCTTCTGGCCGTTGGCGTTGTGCTGCCTTTTTTCTTGTTGCTCATGACTTCTTTCTTCTTTTCGTAAGTTTTTGCATTCTTCTCAAGTTTGTCTAGTTTTTTGTTGAACTGCTTTTTATATAACTATTTTTCGTGGTTAGCAATGCGGTATTCTCCATCGAAACTTGATTTGCAGGTTGGGTTCGGTGCAGAATCTAACATTGCTTCCATTGCTGCTCTATCGCATCTTCGTGTCTGGGTTGCAGTAAATCGATTGCTTTGTTTGTCTTCTCTACGAAACCTTGGTTTTTTTGGGTCGTCTTTCGGTATTATATCTTTTGGCTCGTGAACCCCTCCCATATCTTCTACGGCAGTTTCTTAAATTGAATGTTGCAATAACTAAGATGTGGAGCTTTATTGGTGGTGTATTTTTGAGGGATATATGATGAACTTGCCTTTTAAGAACAAATGATTGATTTTGTTGAAATGATTTTTAGGTTGCCTTAATAATGGTTAAGGAGACTATCAGTGTTAAGACAACTTGAAGATCGCCCGCTGAAAATCATTTCAGTTCTAAACCAGTCATAGAACGAAGCCCTAGCTGTAGAGAGTAGAGAAAAAAGACTTCGGAGATACTGTAATTATAGCTCTCGGACGTTTGGTGTAGTGAAATAGTTTTCTGCTAAACACAGTTGAACCCAGATTTTAAAACCATATCTAATACATATTTGGGCTGGTCCATTATTTTAACTGCAGTATTATAAACACCAGTTGGATTCTTAAATAAAATGCAATGAGCTCCTGAACACTCACGATAAACGTGCCAAGAAGGTCATAATCATTTGGACTAAGTAGGCTGCCATGGAAAATCAGTTCTTCATACACTGAACGAGGCAATGAAAATTATGTTTAACTGGAGCTTTGCAACCGCCCAAGCGTTTTTTCAACCGAGCTCCTCCCCCAATTTGCGGCAAGCGTCTTGATATTTTTCTAACAAATGAAGAACCAACAGTTTATTCTAAGCCGCCTTCCAACGGCCGCTGGATTTTTATGAGGAGATTTTTGTTTAATTTGAGAAACACTCCCGGAGGACTTGATGGCAGCTAGAAAATCTGATTTTCTATAATCTTGGTCCTACAATTAACAGTACGCACTGCTAACTACGCGGTTATTGGTGTAAAAAGAAGCAATGACTGACCGATACGGAGGGGATATAACTGATATAAAGTTCAGAGTTCTCATAAAATACGGCAACACTTTTTGAGTAAGGCACTGACCAAGAGACTTTTACTGTTTCTTTGAACTACGGAATCCTTATAGAGTGAAATCAAAGCAACCTCCACTATAAGGTGCAGGGGTTCCCTAGATTGCGACCACTAATCTGCTAATGGATTGTTGCTCTTTTTGTAAAAAAAAAATGTAAGCATCAGCAATATTTGTCATGGAAATCCAAAGGAAATTAATCTACAAATACGAACAAATATTTTTCTAACAAAATACTTTCCAATATCAATTTCCATGTGTAGCAGCAGTTACGTAGCTACAGCGTTAAGTAGCTTCATTTGATTTCTCCACTTGAGGTCATTTGACATTTCTTAAGCCTTCAAAGTTGGCCGGGGATAACCGGAAATTGAAAACTTGCTGCAACGATGCAATAAAGAACACACGCACACTCACACACACACACACACACACAACTCTCTTCCTATACATGTAGTGTTTATAGATTAAGAAGTATATTAGAGGAGCATATCAAGCTCCGAACAACACACACATACATTTGCACATACGCACATATATATTGCACCACATAACTGCGTGTGGAAGTACGAATTTCCGTCTGTGCAACATGTATGCCCGACTCCAGCAAAGGAGCAACAGACTAAACGTCACACTGAGCTTCATCAGAAGCAAATGACATGTGATATGTGTTGTTGTTGGTCAGTTGTTGTTTCACCACAGTCTGTTTTTGTTGGTAGCGACATGCCACTCCACTTAATCTACTACCATAACTGATACTCTGCTTATGGGTAGTTGCTGTTTGTTGTTTTCTTGCTGTTGCCTCTTACCTTTTTTGCTCTTGTTAAATCACATTGAACTCATCAGCGCGCGTTGCTGCGTTTTCACTGCACGTCGGTAACACATATCGCATTTCAAAAATATTGAAGTCTGCTCTTGTTGTTGTTGTTGCTCTGGTTGGCGATGTATCTAGTTGATCGTACTTTTGTTGTTGGCTAGATTTGTGCACTGCTGGATTCTTGGCTGATGGCTCTTTCAGCGAATTGTGGGCCGACAAATGTAAGTTAAACCAAAAGTGTTAAATTTCCAAGGCACACAATGCAAAGAGGTGCTAAACAATAACAAAACTAAGTATTTAATGGAAAAATAAAAGGAAAAGCGTTCACTTGTTTGTTAGGTGGCTTAAGATGTGGAAAATAGACTTCAGATTTTTTTCTTTTTTTCCAGCAGCAGGTGATAACGATGCAAAACATTCCTTCCGGGGATCTAGACTAATATTTTGCAAGGATAGAGATTTATACAAGGTCAGCCAAAGCAATGGCACACGCACAGCGCAGATGAACCACTTTTTGACTTCTCGCCTGATCACTCGCCTTGTTAAAGTTTCATCAACCCAGATCTTGTTTTCAATGATTGCGCTTAGGCTTAATCAATCAATTTATCAACTCACAGCTAAAATCGCACACGTCTCTTAATTCAACAAGAGATGTCGCACAATTGGCCACACAGTAGATAAATGGTCTCCAGGGCAAAGGCTTTACAAGTTTGGTAACAAAGAAAAAACAACTCAGGAGAGATTTTCAGCGGCTCCGTTCCCCGACCTTAAAGCACGAGTTCAATAGATGCATAAAACGGCTTCAAATTGTCCTGGAGAAAAAAAAAACGGGAAACAAAATTCAAAAGTAATTGCAATCCCTGTTAGCGTTAATACTTACTGCCCTTTATGGCATACATTTAACTATTTTAAAAGTCCGATCGTTTGTGACCCTTCACTGAGTATTCACAATGGTGAGTGGGCTCGAAGCGTCCAAAAAAAATTATATGTCATTTTCCACACATCTTTCCAATGTTCTTACGCCTAGTACAGGTTCCAGTTCCAGAAGTTGATTGATTGATCCAGTTGAAAATTTCGTTCTATTTCGCTTTAAATTACTCAGAAAATCTATTGCTTATGACGTAATCGAACTGAAGTCCTCTCGATACGACATGATAATGCTTCATAGCATATTTAGGTCACAAGCTTGGAAAAGATCCAACTTTGGTTGGCTCATCTAAGCCAATTAGCTTAATTATGACATTTTTATAGACAATAAAACAAGCGATTTTGGGATCCGAAGCAGGCCACCCCCTCTTGATTTGCTGAACTATGTCAATGTCACCAGGCGTACATCCCGCACAGTCGTCCCATCGACTACGGTATTCGCCATAAGCAATGTGCAAGGGACGCAAAACTTTTGCGCCCTGCAGGACGGAAATAATGAGGGACTTTTAGAGTTTGGTTATTGCTCGTCAGGATAAGACTTTACTTTTCAATTGCCTACTCAGTCCAAAGTAGCAGCTGTTGCTGATAATGATTCTGGGTGG